TTAGAAATAATATTTATTTTGGCAGTAAAGTAATAATTACTTTGAAATAACTAACTTTTCGTTAAAAAGAAAAATCCCCTTATTCAAAAATGTTTAGTATATTTTTTTCTTCTTTTTAAGCTTAGCAAAGTATTAGAGATAAAAGTCCCATTGCTAAATCCTACTCTCGAATACGAGTATCTACTACAATGATATAAGTGATGGATTTGTCATATCCATGATTGATGCCCATTAACAAATACGTAATCTATCAACAATGGATTTTGATATCGCTAATGTCACGTATTTCATAGTGTATTTAAATTCTTTATTGATAAGTTGTGGATGGACAATGTAAAGCATACTCATTTTAACTTGATAAAATAATCATGAGTTAAATGTTAAATTGGCCATCGAAATTTATACTTCATCACGGTTTACTAATTGAACTTCAGAAATCGTCCCTATGGCCACTAAACTTGTCTCCGTTACACTCGGTCACTCATTTAAATCCGTCAATGAATCTAGCCAACTTGACAATGGAATATCTATGTGGACCATTAAGTGCTTAAGTGGAAGGTCCACGTAGCCAAACACGTCTTATCATTGACATACTAAACTCGAGTTCGCGCAAACTTTAATGACGAAAAAACCCATTCATTTTGGGGCAAATATCAAATCGCAAGTGTGAAAAGGCAAGAACCCCAAATGTGGCGCGGGGTAGAGAAAAATACCGGAAACATAGGTCGCGTACTCTTATGTTGTACTAGGGATTGCGGTTATTCCAAGTGGAATAATGATTCATTTTTGGAAGAAGAGCCTTTTCAATTTGAAGGTGAGTCTAGTGGACAATCGAGATGTGTTTGTTCGGGTAAATCGAAGCTTGAAGATTTGATTGACGAGTAGTCGTGTATATTGAAGAAATGCGCTCAAATAACAGAACAACAAAACGTCAAGATATCCCTCAATATAACGATTCGCAAGGGAAAAGAAGCTATAGAGGAGAGCGGGAAAGGAAAAGGAAGTCTTCCGTGAATGTCATACAGCTATGTAATCGAGTCAATGACTTATGTTGTAGTTGTCGAACTCAATTTTTATGTAATTGGCTCTAAACTCGTTCTTAATTTGCAACTTTTTCTATGCTATATGAATGGAATGTTTACTAATTTTCTTGGCTTCTTGATTCTCTAGATTACCAAGGTCTGATTCTGCTTCTTCTTTTCAATCTCTATAAATTTAAGTTCTTTTGGAAAATTTCATGCTGCATCACGTGTACATCCCGGGTTTGGCAGTAATATTTATCAGGTTCTACGGCTTTTCACCAAGTTGACTTCAAGTTTTTGAACATTGCTACAATTACACTTTTATGTACACTTTGGTTTACATTTTGCCACGTGACATTACCCAATTGGACGGTTTAAATTTTAAACAGTTTTTTTATCCAATGCACTGTTGACAACAATGCAAGTGTCAACCAAAGTGCATAAGTTGAGTGTATGAATGGCAAAGTCCTATTTGTTCTATTTGTTTGCTGACTTACACTAGACAATCCATGTGCCTCAATGCTTGGGACAAATTAATGTTTGCTCGTGACTGTATGGAACAATTTAAAGCCTCAAACAAGTCATCTTCAAATCACAGCAAAGCAACACTAACTATACAATTCGCCAAAATGTAACCCCGTATGATAGACATAACGAGATAGATACAAGTCATACAACATTGCACAAACGAGATGGATACAATATTGCAAAAAAGTTTCCAACGCACTTCGACAACAAGAACCCAATTGACACATTAGTTACAAAAATTTGTGCACATATACCAGTTACAAATGTCAAAAGTTACATTCGATAGCCAGACCATACAGCACACTGGACATGAAGTGATCAACTGGAAAAGCACAGAATTCGTTAAAGTTCATGAGCTGGGATTGAGACTCTTTAGCTTTGTCATCACACGGCCATCCAATCACATATCAATCCCATCAGTCACATTTCTGTCGTATATTTCATTGCCCAGCTGGCCAGATTCGTTCACGGATTTAAATGGGTTAGTAACTAAGTGCAACGGAGATAAGTTCAAAGGCCATTGGGACGATTTTTTAAGTTCAATGAGTAAGGCCTGACGAAGTGTAAAGTTCGGTGACCAATAAAACATTTAACTCAATAATCATCCAAGCCCAAGTCGATTAATGAGGAATCAAGTTTATACATTTTTGACGCAGATGTATACTAACAGCCATAGGGTCAATACCTAAATGAAGTAGTAAGAGCGAAATCATACCAAGCTGATGACCTGGATTCCAGCCTCCTTTTAGGGAAGGGGTGAAATGAAATCCATTGATCCTTACAAAAAAAAGATTAATGATAATAACAACAACAACCCATGTTTGAATGAATTAACTAAACGCGATCGAGCTTATTAAGCTCCCAACCTTAAATACCAAAACTCTGTACTTGCTTTATTGGCCTAAAGAAATGACGCAGGATAATTGGCGAATAAATTGCAAGTGATTCAACGATTAGCAAAGTCAAAAGGCATCGCCATCTCCTATTGAGTAGCATAGTCCATCCTCGACCGGGGATGATATTGGTTGTTTTCAATAATTCTTCTTGAGTGTAGTATGTATTGTTTCATGAGTAAGATTTTGGGAGATTTGAGAAATTGGAGTTTCTTGAAGAAGACTCGGGCTCAAAATCAGAGATATTGTCCATTCTTTGATTTCTATAACCAAATAAGGAAATGAAACCTGTTAACTTAATCATGTATAAGTTTTACAAACAATGATGTACAACTAAAATAATCGAAGAACGAACACAACAGAATTGAGCAGAAAAATATTCCCAGTGAAAGGAGGGAACTGGCTGGCTTTCTGTTGGATGAATAGTGGTGCCCTAGGTCTCTTAAACTAGCTCACTAGCCTCCATTAGGTGTCGTTAGCTAATTGATTCAACAAGTCCCTCAAACGGGATGGTGTTCTTTTAACAACCCCAAGTTTCTCCTTCAAGGAACTGAACTTGGAATGAATCGATGCCTTCATTGAACAATCAGCCACTTGATCATGTGATGGCATAGATCTTACTTCTAATTGCTTTCCAGAATTTGGTCACAAACAAAATGAATGTCAGCTTCAATATGTTTAGTCCTAGAACAGTATAATGGATTGGCTGGTAGTGCACTAGAACTGACGTTATCACACCAAGTAATAGGAACTGATGGCAAGAGAAATAAGAACTCTTTCAGCAATGATTCTAACCGAGCCAATTCACAGGGGACTCAAGTCATGGCCCTGTATTCAGACTCAGTATTCGATCTTGCAACCACCTGTTGTTGAGAACACCAAGATGCTATAGTGTTCCTAAAGAAGACAGAGTAAATAACAACAGATTTCTATCATCAGGGATGCACCAATTCTGTGTCAGAAAAGCCAAAGAGGCCTGTACTTTATTTGATGAGCAAACTATGTTCCACTGTCCCTTTCAGATACCTTTGGACTCTCTTTGACTGCCTGCAAATTTGAGGCTCTAGGATACTGCAAGAACTGACTGAATTTATTCACAACCGCAATGTCTAGCCTTGATCTCCATCGAGGCACAAGACGCCTTCCAACGTTTCCTAGAGTTGGACAAGGTTTAGTGTTCAGTAGGCCTGTCCATTAAAAGATGATCCTCTATGTATGTTTTCTAAGTTATGTAAATGCTGCTTTCATCTCTAAAGGCTTCAAATCCCGAAAAGTAATGTAATGAGCCACGGTCCTTCAATGCAGATAGTTTATTCAACTTCCCCACAAATTGCTTTAATGACTCTTGTGTCATTTCTATTGACTATCATATCATCTACGTAAATGAGCATCATCAGCACTTATGTCTTGGTTTTGAAAAAGAATAATGAGGAATCAGCACTAGAATTTATAAAGCCCAAGTCAAGAAGAGTTGGTTTTAGCCTGTAAGACCAGGCTTTTGGTACCTGTTTAAAACCATGTATAGCCTCCTCGACCTTGCAAGCATGCCCTGGTTTGTTTTGTCAATGTAGGTTTGCTCATATAAATATCTTGTTGTAGTATTCCATTGAGGAACGCATATTCAAATTTAACTGCCTCGCTTCACAGTTCTTAGACACTGAAATCCACAAAAGATACATTTTAGCGTATAAACATATAGAAATAATTGTAGATAATTTAAATAAGAATAAATCAAGTTGCATTCCTTATAATGTCATTTTTCAGAATTAGGTAAACAAAATTCATGGGATAAGGAGCTGAGCCCGAGAATGAGTGGACAATTATTGAAAATACAACTTCTTCTGCTGATTCATCCATGCAACATTTTCAAGTAGTTTGTAGTTTATAAGCTCAATGAGTTCTTGTCTTACCTGTATGTAATTTCTTTGCTATCCAAAAAGTTTGAGGTATATATGAAATTATGATCATATATCTGAAATGATAATAGTCAATTAAATTAATAAAGAATGGTTTGGTAATGCTTGATAGAGAAGAAAAAACTAATCAAACAGTGTCTATGGCAAAAATGTGCACAATAAAAGATAATATCACCACAAACAACGAACTGAACAAACTTCACGATTATATTAATCACCAACACACAGCCTACAAGTCAAGAGATCTATTGTGGAGCATTAACAGTTCAATGCAATTATCTATGACTATGAGAAATAGTAATAAACAAGTACACCTTAAGAATCCTCTTGACCGACGAGTTTTGCAAATGTTCGCTTATTATGAGAGGATAATTTAACTTGTTTATCATGAGTAGCATGTGCAATGTGTTTCTGATTCTTTGAGTTGCCTATTTTAGAAGGAAATTGTAAATAATGAGCAGATATAAGAAAATCTCAACACTGTAGAAAGGGAACTTAAACTTGGGACAAACGTACCCAAACCTCAGTAAAATAACTTCAATGAAATTGAAACACTAAAAATTACCATTTTCAGATAGTATTTGTAAGCTTGGCCATCTTTTCTGCTACTTCTTGAGCCATAATTGTGTTCGAATTGGACATAAGAGCATCTACTAAAGCTTCATACACAAAAGGATCAGGTGTCATCTCCTTGTCTTCCATCTTTTGCAAATAGAGAAGAGCATCATCTGATTTCCCACACTTGCAAAGCCCGTGAATGAGAGCCATATAAGCAATTCTATTTGGAGCACATCCTTTGTGCTCCATTTCAGTCCAAAGCTTGAGTGCATGATCTGCTTTTTGAGAATTGCACAACCCATCTACCAAAGTTGTATATGTTATGATATTTGGTTCCAGTTCTTCCTCTACCATCCTCGAAAAACATAGGAGAGCTCTATCAATGTCACCATTTTTGCACCACCCATCAATTAAAAAGTTGTAAGTAACAACTGATGGAACTAGTCCCTTACTGAACATCTCATTTATAGCATCCTCAGCTTCCAGTATCCTTTTGGCTTTGCACAGCCCATTTATTATCATGTTATATGCAACTACATCAGGACAATAACCACGTCTACATATTTCTCTGAATATCTCCAAAGCTTGATCCAGTTCCTTGGTCTTGAGAAAACCATAAATATTTGCAGAATAGGCAACCATATCAGGGAGGAATCCTACCTGAGTCATGTTAACTAGGAAATTACGGGCATCATCTGCCCTCCCTTGTTCACAAAGTTTCTTGACAAGCAGGGTATAATATTTTATCCAGGGTTTATGCCCATGCACACGCATTTCCCTAACCATATCAAGAGCTCCTGCAACATCCCCTCGTCTACATAAGCACCCAAATATGGAATTGAAGGTAAAATGCGTTGGCTGGAATCCTGATTCCTTCATCTTATTCAGAAGATCAAAACATTCATTCAACCTATCAGCAATGCTCAAACAATTGATTAAATTATTAAAAAGTAACACGCTACGTTTACAGCCAATTTGATCCATCTCAAAGAATAGGCCAAGGGCCAGGTCTAACTTATCACTTTTGCACAGACCATCAATGACTATTTGGAAAGAAGTGGTATCAGGGCAAACATTTTCCTTAACCAAAAGGATATTTTCTGCCTCAAAATCTCCATTCGTTCCATTGCCAATCGTCACCTTTAGCAAATGATAAGCTCTATTAACTGAACCATTATTAACAAAACCAGCCAAAACAGAATTATAAAGTAACATCCTTTTCTCCAAATCCAAATCTGCCTGCTTTTCTTCAAGCAACCAAATCATGTCTCTCTCATCTTGTAAACATGATAAAAGCATTGACATTATTTTAACATCAGGAGTCATACCTAGTTCCCTCATTTGGTTGCACAACATCAAGGCCTTGTCAATCTCCTTATTCTTGCACAAACATCCAATTAGCACATCATAGATTGAAATGTCTGGAACGTATCCCGTTCTTCTCATTTTATCCAATAGATGCAAGGCCTTATCCACTCTGGACTCCTTTACAAACCCATGAATCAGTACATAAAATGTCTTCTCGTTCAAACTAATATTTAGTTCCTTTTCCATCCGTGCGATCAACTCAAAAGCCCTATCCACCTCCCCCAACTTGCTAAAAGACACCAGTAAAGTAGTCAATACATGTGCATCAACCCATCCCTTGTCCCTCATCTCATCAAAAACACCCAAGGCCTTTTCAAACTCCCTACTGTTGCAATAACACTGCAACAACGGTGTCAAAGTATGCTTATCAATCTGCCAACCAAGATCCCTCATTTCATTAAACCTAATCTCAATCAAACCTACATCTCCACTCCTCGAAATTGCCTCCAACAAACAGTTATAGCTGTAACTATTTGGAACACAAACTCTTGAGCTCTTCACTTGATCAAATAGATCAATAGCCTCTTTAACCAGGCCTTGACTTCCTAAACACCTTATAAAATAACCCAAAGCTCCAGGTGTCCAGAAAAACTGTAAATTCGATAAATTTAGAGCAAGAGCTCTCAATGGGGCATTTTGTCGAGCATTTGATAGGATTGATGCCATGGCGTTATAAGTATAGCAACTATGCGCGTACCCCTTTTGATTGGACGCCCAGTTGAAGAACATATGCGCTACTCTCCAATTCTTGAAGGACTTCAAAACAGTTTCCACTATTTCAGGAGTCAGATATGAGCTTAACTCTTGAAGCTCTGGGGATTCTAAAGAAAATGGTCGCTTTGTAAAAACGGAAATCAGGATTTCAACGGTGCTTCGATTCGCATTGGTGCAAATGGGCTTTGTCTGAATCAAATTAAGGTCATGACCGTTCGTATAAATAGTTGAATTGATGAAGTTTTGATTGGATAGTTTGAGAAGAGTTATGTGATGAGTTGTTTTGAGGATTCGGTTTCTATACAATGCCATTGTATTTTACAAGGCTTCGGATTGAATTTGCGGGGTATTTTCAATGAAATTTATTGTTGGATTTCATTGAAGCATAAACTGCACAATCCATGGAACTTTTCCGATGTTTGAAGTTGGCGGGGATTTTTGTCTCAATCTAGACGGACATCATGTTTTACATTTTTTTTTTTTTTTTGCGTATTGCCACGTGACATCACCCTATTGGACGATTTAAAAAAACACAATTTTTTCACCAATCAAATTTTGTAAACTCAAGTGATGTCAACGATGATGCACACTGTTAATGTACCAATGGCTTTTCCCTCTTTGGCGGTTGTTCTTTCCCCGCTATTTGCATAAATTTGTAAAAGCCTATGTATGTCTTTAAAATTTCTCACACACATAATAATTAATTGAATAATGTTAGATGTACATTTTGGTTGATAATTTCTTTGACATTCTGGACGATGATGTGATTGATGTAATCAAAATCAATGTTGTAAATTTAGTTACATGGAAGAGTGTAACCCATGATATAAATGTAGAATGGTCGTAATTAATTTTTATAATTCAAACCTTTTTTTTAACATTTATATTTCCTCATCTCTATATTACTACCCTAAGAAATTTGATGATATAGAGCAATTTGGAGTTATGGACGTGTTTGGTAGGGATTAAAATTGAAAAATTAGCCGTTATTGTTAACTTTTATTAGACGAGTGAGACTCAATAACTGTTATATTTTCAATTTTAATTGAATTTTAAGCTTTGCCAAACATGCTCTATATTACAAAATATTATACATAGACAACAGTTATTAAAATGTAATAGAAAAAGTCATACACAAGTTTTGTTATTGTATCGACTCATCCAACACTTTGAATGATCTAGTTTGTTAAATTGGTCAAGTTGAGAATCTAATTCGTTCAACTTATCAAATTGGATAGATAGAAATTTCGCCATCCAAATGTTGTTGAGCCAACCCACCTCTTCATAAAACTAAGAATTAAGCCTCCTTTTTTAGTGAAACTTATAAGTTTCTTTTTCTATCCAATCAAGAACAAACATAAATTTCAATTACACATTATCTACACATTTGGTAAAACACAGTACTATTTTTCTAAACTGCTGCTTTTTTATTATCAGAGCAGAGGCTAAAAATTAAGCAGAAATTGTTTGACCATTTCTGAACTGCTGCTGCTTAAAATCTGCCACGAACACACACACAAATTTCAGCAGGCCGGGAGGGAGTGGGAAAGTTGCAGTAATTCTTTGGAAGAGCCCACTTCTCTCTGTCTTCGAGCTTTCATTCCAGAAATCCCAGTATTGTAAGAGAAGGGTCAGCTCATCGATTTGTTCAGAAAAAGAAAGGAAAGAGATAAAAATGGCAGGGAAGTTAACAGTACCCAACGATCAGGCATCACCATCCATTTCCTTGTAGAATTTACATTATTTTATTTATCCATTCGTTTATTAAACAAAATTGACTCCAGGTTTTTCTATTTTAACTCAGTTTTGGCTGCATTTTGAACTCATAATGCACATGCACAAAGATTAAGCATTGGCAAGCCTGCACATTTTTTCAGCATGTTCAATGACAAATCTGAGATCGCCAATTTGCTGGCATAGACAGTACGACAAAGAAAATGCTCAAGTATAAAAAAAGAACATTAAGTCTCTATTTGTGTCCCATTATTTCAAAACTCTTTTCTACGTATTCATTCTTAACCATACATTCAAAGAATAAAATATTCTACACATATATCCAAAACTTTTCCCACTTTTTAACCCCACATTCTCCAAAAATTCACTATTCGAAACAATGTTTTTCCCAAAAAATGGCCATGGCCAAATTGCAACATGTTCAGCATCTGACCACATGTTGATAGTACATATACTACTGTAAGCAACAGAAACCTAATTTTGCTGATACTTGGTATCCAAATCTATCCAAGCATTTAAACATGCAGTAATACATTAGATATAGTGTTGTCTAAGAAAAAAAGGCTGATAAGGAAGACACGCAAATATATACGCTATCTAATACAGCAAAACTGGGAAACTAACTTGAAAACACAATAAAATGATCTGCATTGAGTTGCATGTAAAACGTCTTAATAGTCTTCTTATGTCAAGTATTTTACCATGTAAGGACCTTCAAGCTCGTAGCCCAACTTCCTATAGTAATGCCTTGTTCCCACACCAGAAATGACAGCTACCTTTGTTGATCTGTGCTCTTTATGGGCAATTCTCTCTGCCTCCTCCATCAGTAGGGTACCGTAACCCTGGTGTTGTTGTTTATCAGCATCCCGTCCATGGACGGGAACAGCTGTCCCATAAACATGTAATTCACGAACAATAGAACACTTCCCTGTGAGTTCAGGGCAAGTTACATTACGTCCACATTTCCGCAAACGCAATAGCCCAACAAGAATATCCTGCACAAAATCCAGATTGAGACATAATATTCAGAATACTTAATTCGCCCTTGTATGATTTTGGACTTTTTCTAAAATCAATTTTCCTCAAAACTCATTTTTAACAATACGTTCTCCGAATAAAATAATTATGCACGCGGTCCCACAACATTTCGCTACTCTCAATAAATCAAAATCAAACAAGGACACCATAAGAGCAGAAAAACGAGTTCATGATGGCTGTTAAGCCGTCCATATCTACTTTTCTCAACTGAATGCTAATAAGACAATTTTCCTTTTATTTTCTTTGTTGGAAGGGGTAAGAGGATAGTAAAAAGAAGATTAAGCCCTTGTTTGACAAAACTTTGCTAAAAATTTTCAACTGATCAAACTTCAAATTTAACATGAGCCCTGCTACAAGAACAGGGGCCTGATTTACAGGCTCTGCCAGACAACACACATTGGGGGTTGGGCCACAGTTCTTTTTTTTAATACAAAGGTGGGGCCTCGGCCTATAATGCCCCTGTGAAAACTCCCCTGTACTTGGGGAATTGCTCATTTAACATTATATTGCATGGAACCTACAACTTTTACCAACTATTCAAGCACATATTTCATCAACTTTTATCAAAATCTAATTTAGCAAACAACCCCTAAATAACTAACAGAATATAGACAACTTAAAGGATATGAAGCTTTGGTCGTACAAAAAATAAAAAAAATTACGTATCACAAAATGGTAACATTTTTCGGAGAATAGCTCCACAAAGTACGCACGTGGTGAGGACAGAATACAATATTCCACTAGATCATTGTACAATAAGTGAAAACATTGAAAGATGATCTAGAACTATTATCCTAAGGGGTTGTATTTAACCTAGACTTTTAAATACTTTGATGCACATCGGGTTTTTTTGCCATCCCTAACCTACAACTTTTACCAACTATTCAAGCACATATTTCATCAACTTTTATCAAAATCTAATTTAGCAAACAACCCCTAAATAACTAACAGAGTATAGACAACTTAAAGGATATGAAGCTTTGGTCGTACAAAAAATTAAAAAAATTACGTATCACAAAATGGTAACATTTTTCGGAGTATAGCTCCACAAAGTACGCATTTGGTGAGGACAGAATACAATATTCCACTAGATCTTTGTACAATAAGTGAAAACATTAAAAGATGATCTAGAACTATTATCCTAAGGGGTTGTATTTAACCTAGACTTTTAAATACTTTGATGCACTTTTTAAGTGATTCATGAACTTCAATTGACTTCTATAGAGTTTTACACACTTTTATAAATTTTCATTTAAAAAATAATAATTTATGAACATAGAATAAAAGTCTAGAGACAATTTGTAATACTTATTCTCTCAAAAAATAAATAAAACATTGTCCACTCAACAATATTTTATAAATTTGAAAATATTAATGCAATTAAATAAGTTATTACAAAATCTATCGACTTCTCATTTGGGACATTTATATTTCTATATTCAAGATTTCAAAAAAACAAAGGTATATTTTGTAAAAATATATAGAAATCCATGAAAGTTCATAATTAATGAAAAAAAGTCTATCAAAGTATTTAAAAGCCTAGAATAAGCTCATGTTTGAGCCCCATTTCATGAGAATATATTTTGTAAAAAGCGATTATATTTTAGAATGTGTGGCTAAATAATATGAAAAAGTTTTGGGTTTACATGCAAAATTATTTTAATGGAAAAATATGTGGTTGAAAATGAGTTTGGGTAAAAATGAGTTTTAAAAAATGGGGTTCAAATAACCTTGAATGGCTGCTCAATTGGTCAGGCCTTGGATTTGCTCCCCAATGATCACCAGTTCAAATCCCCTCGGAGCTACTGAGGTGAGTATATGGTCGTAAACTTCAGGGCCTCGTGGGATTAGTCGAGGTGCGCGCAAGCTGACCCAGATACCCACGGTTATCAAAAATACAAAAACAAATGGGGCTCAAACAGAAACTAATTACACCCCCCCAAATCTGATTTATTTTCAGTTCTGACTCTAATCGTTTGAAGTTCAGCAAGGGAAAATGTGAAAACAATATAAAAATTAATACGCACTTGCAGACTCTTAGTTCTGCCTTTTCCTGTGTTCTGTTGCATTCGTAGTTTTCTTCTAGACAAAAAAAAAGCAGATATACAAAAAGAAAGAGCAAAGAAGCGTGACAGTTGACGCACCTGATGTGTATCTTCATATGAAAGAAAAGTTTCCCATCCCTCATTTGCGGTATAATCACGACGAACAAGCTGAACTTCTTCTGGCTTTATATTGTTGTGAATGTCCTAATTTCATTAAAAAGATTATCAGCTGCAGCATAAAATGACATGGATTTGTCAAATGCAAACAAAAATTGATCACGTACTTGGATCCCAGCTTCACGTGTTCGAACATCACGGCATTTCAAGCCCAAATCACTCATCCGAGCTAAAGCTAACTCTCGAAGATTCCCCTTCTCAACACCAGAAGTAACTAGAGGCATAGGAATATCTCGCTGAACTCTATATACACGAGTCCATGGGGGAACCATTGCCAATATTCGAGCTACAATGTCCACAAGCTGTTCCGGTGGATAATTTCTATATCTGAACATGATCATATGTACATAATAAAGAGCAATCATGATCTTTAGACAGTAATCGACATTTTATTCTACAATAATAGCTACTATAGCTCTGGCCACCAGCTGCAACGATCTAAGAAAGAGAGAACATAATGCCTGTAAAGCAGAAGTTTTACCTGCCAGTTTTCCAAAGTTCATAAAGACCAGTTCCACGAATCACAAGTGTGGGATAGATTTTGAGCCCATCTGCCCTAAATGAAGGGCTCTCAAAGAACTCCTTGAAACTTTCTAAGTCTCTCTCAACCCCAACATTTGGAAGATCAGGCATCATATGAGCAACTACCTGTAATAAAACACATAGAGCTTAGCACCATGGGAAACAAAATAAAAAGGATCTGTAATCAGAAGTATTCAAGAGTAGAGCCATAAAAACAACATTAAATGGAAAACCACGTTGAATTACTAAAGTCCTGAATATATTCTGCTGCATTATAGATATTGTCAGCCCTCCATCACAAAGCCATAAGAATTTATTTTTCCCTGACTTCTTTTCTTCATTTTAAAGATATTAACATTAAGCAAAAGAGCATTACCATTACACAAAAGTAAGGGAAGATACTTCCACAACACAATCTTTAAATTGGCACTATATGGAGGATCTGCATTGATGTTGAGTAATAACGTATGTTCTCAATCGATTCAACATGAGTTTGTTTTTACTAGGACGTCTCAGGAACTCCCTAAATACAAGTAGCTGCAATAAGTGTTAAAAGGAACTATTTTAAGACACTACAGCCAGAAGTTTCAGTAGGTGCATTTTATGGTTCGGAAATCATGCCTTTAGTTTCATGTTTACAAGACTTCGACAGGCCAAATCCTAGTAAAGGACCTCAAAGCTTAAATGTTACATGTACTCTTCAGAAATCAAGAGGAGACAATGCCCGGATAGATTTGACCCAACCTTGTAGAGAAAACGAGGTCCAGATCCCAAAATGAGTATTCAAACATGATTTTCCAGTGGGATTTGGAGCAATTAGGTAGTCATAAATTCAATCTTTTGGACATCCTGACATTAGTATAACAACATAGGCATCCATTAGATCAAGAAGGTTGGTCTCTCATGATACCTTGCCTGAAGCTCTTTATTATGTGGTAAAAGGCTAGATGCCAAGGGCTATTACATTATTGACTTGCTTCCAGCTTTTGAGGCTCTCATGATGTCGTGTGATGCCTAAGTATGCCTAATTGGTCAAGAAGTGAGTCTTAGGTTTCTTCTGTCTTCAACTCTCTAGAAGTACCAGATCACAGAAATTAAAACTAAACTTGTCATCACTTAACCGTCAATATTATCAAGCTTAACTTGCTTCACAAGTGAAGGCAAAAGCAAGCAAGTTTCAAAACCATAGAACCAGGAGAAATGTTCAAATACTCTCTATTCCAACTTCGCAAAAATCAACAGTTCCCAGAACTTGAAACCAAACGTATCATCTCTTAGCCCTCAAATTATCAAGTTAACTTGCTTCCCAATTGAAGTTAAAACTAAGGAAGTTTCGAAACCACAGAGCCAGGACTAGTACTCTCTTAAGAGCCTGCTATTACCTTTAGGAAACCGTAATAGGCTTTTCTGTGCAAATGTTTTGTTAACTGGGAAACACACTGCAGGGAACTAAATCTACTTTCATTTATTGAGGAAAATTTGGGAGGATGAGGCCAAAAATCATAGTCATTGAATGGATAAAAAAAACTATTAATACAATATAGTTGAGAGAAAACCTTGAAACCAGCATCCTTTGCCAAGCAAAAGCAATCGGCCACAGCTGCTACTGTGTGGCCCCTATTGGTGTCACGGGCAACATCCTCATATGTGCTTTGCACTCCGATCTCCAGTCGTGTACAACCATAGGAAAGCATCTGCCTCAAATGTGGTCCAAGACAGTAGTCTGGCCTTCTGTTATACCACAATAAATGTCATTCAGTCACTTAAATGAGATGTCATTGTTGCGGAAAATCACACAACAAATATAAAATCCCAAAGACCACAGCCATATATGAAGAGAAACTGTTATCCAGTGAAAGTCAACATCTAACAGTAGGCAGGGTAGTAAATAGTATTAGTTATTCCTTTTTATGTCCTCCCTTTAAGGGTTTAACTATAACTTGACAGCATAAAAGACTAATAGTATAAAGAAACATATTTACTAAAGCTAGAGAATCACTATCCACGTTACTCTATGATTCCAACACATGCCAAGTAAGTAGAATTCTTGAAAACCTATTCAAAATTGGTACTGACTATGATAAAGACAGAACGGATGGAATTGCATATATGCCCACAATAATTAAAAGAAAAAAAAAATCAATGTAGCTCACGTTTCAATGGTCATTCCAATACACTTTACTGCACTGTGCTCAGAATAGGTCACTGCCTCTTCAACATTGGCAGAAGTATGCCCTGACAGCGCATCATGAAGATTCCTTGTAAAATAATCACGATATTCTGATGGAAGTGACATAAAGGTACCACCCATCAAGATAAATTCAACCTGCATTGTTAACATTCATGAGAAACAATAAATTTTAATAGTTCCAGAAACCAAATTGTCAAATTTCAGCATGAGCAGACAAAGCATACCTTATCGACACTGTGACCCAACCTTTTAAGCTGATCAATTCTGCTTCTCGCCTGGACATAGGGGTTATATCTGGGATATGAATATCAATTATCGATCAAATCAAATACTTCATATATATCTTTCTCTTCTTTCTTTTGCGAAAATAAAATTTCTCTCTTAACCAAACTAGTTTAATAACTCAAAATGTAAGGGATAAGTTAATTGGTAAAAAGCCATGCGAAATTAATATATCATTGACTTCCCTTGTGGTTATTTCAGGAAAACCAACAACAGTGTAGGCCCTGAAATGGAACCAAATTTCCCCCTCTCCCTCCTCCCAGCAATTTTCTTCCTTTACATCTACTATATGAACTTAGGCGATGAACCAATTAAGAAATTTTTCCCAACATTAATAACAATGCCAAGAGGGCTCAATCGAGTGAATACATTGAAAAAATAAATAAATAAATAAATAATCTAAGAACTAAAATAGCAATTAAACGATTCAAGTAAGAAAGAACAATTATAAATTATACCTTCAGAGCTTGAACCTTGACCACCAAAATAAATAAATAATCTTACCTAGCTCGTATAGCTCTCATGCTGGTGGGCTCATATCCAGTGTAAGACTGCGTGCTGTACTCGAAATCCGAATCTGGTCCACCCGGGCAGTACACGCAGATATTTCCAGTCGTGGCAATATGCGGGCATCTGTGAGGCTTTGACATAACGGCTACAACAGCAATCCCGGATGCAGTGCGAACAGGCTTGGCCCTGAGCTTGGGCANACAACAGCAATCCCGGATGCAGTGCGAACAGGCTTGGCCCTGAGCTTGGGCAAGAGGGCTTCCCTCTCGGAATCGGGCAGGGCTGCAATCATCTCTACTAACTTCGGGGCCTTCGAGAGTCCGTACTTCCGACACACAGAAGATTTGAGGGCGTTAAGGTCCACATCTTGTCCTTTGCGAGAGAGGTCTACCATGCTGTTCACAATTTCAGCAATAGCCCGGACACGGGCTTCCTCCTCGGATAGTCCGTGAGGGATTACTCCTCCGCGCCCAGGCCGCGGCACCTTCCGGGCCTCGGCTACTGCCGCTGTTGCCATGGTGGAGAGATGGGGAGAGACGGAGGTTTGGAGATTGTACGGAATATGGGGAGAGTAAAGTCGACGACGTCGTTGGGTTTTTCGGCGAGAATGAAAAGCGTTGAAAGGTGTGTGTAAAACCCTTCTACAATTTCAATTTTAACAGGCATAACTCGAGGAAAAAAAGTATATATATTTTTTCTAAAAGGAAAATGAAAATTATTAACTAATAATTATTATATTTGTTAAATTGATTTTCCTTTAAGTAAATAAATAAATTGCACCTGCGTCCCAAATGTTTAATTTCTGCGGTGCGAGGGAAAAATTATTTTCTACATTCTACTACCGTCGGACATCACTTCCCCTGCAATGATTATCTCTTTCATCTCGCATTTCAACTTGGACTTACAAACAGGCCAAGCGTTCATGTGCCAGTTAATCCTACGAAGCTAATGTGACTTGAATTATTGATCAGGATGTCAAGCTTGGTTCAGTTTATTGCCTTGTCTTACACAAATTGAGTTGGAAACCAAGCTCAACTCGCGATGAAATAACTCGAGCTCTCACAAATTAACTTTGTAGATGAACCTCGCACCGATTCACTGCTATTCCGAAAATTCAACTCTGCTTGGGCCTTCATATAATCTTCACCCTTGTTTAAGCCACACTATCTAAAAATTCATCTTTTTCGAACTTATTTTAAATCAAACATTCTTCCAATTATATAATTTTGCACATAAGCTCAATTTTTTTATTTGTTTTTTACTTTTTTAGATCTTGTTACATAAGCTCAATTTTATTTGTTTTTTACTTTTTTAGATTTGTTTGGGAGGGATTTTAATCAAATTAAAAATGAAAATATAGCAGTTATTGGATCTCACCCGTCTAATAAAAGTCAACAATAACAGTTAGTTTTTCAATTTTAATATCTACCAAACAAGCTCTTAATCACAAAGTTTTCAAAAAAAATCGCAATCTCAAAATTCATTTTCATTAAAATGCAGCTCAAATTTCAAAATAAACCGAGTCTCTTTTTAGAATTAAGCCCCTATTTAGTACACAATAAAATTTTCATTTTCATTTTTCTACTCATTTTCAATCACACGTTTTTCAATAAAATAATATTTTCCATCATATCAATAATTTTTCCTTCTTTTTCAACCACATATTCTCCATCAATCTACTATTCAGAATACATTCTTCCAAAATAATCTGGCCAAACACACCCTAACAAAATGAATGAGTCCTTTTAAACAAATTCTTTTTTTTCTGAAAAAATAATTTGATTGATGCAGTCGTAGAAACGAGAGAGAATTCCAATCCTAGGCTCCGTTTTATCAGCGCTTTATCAATAGGTCTTGTTCTTGTTCCGGTTCCGCCAAGAAACCCGCGCATCGGCTCCGGCGACCGGGAAAGAGTAAAACAGAACTTGAGAGAGAGTGAAATTCAGTTCAATCTCCTGCAATAGAAGTTACAATTTCATTCGTTTGACTTTGGACTATTGCTTTCTATTAACCCCTCCACCAGCCATGAAAAGCGAAGAATCTGCGGAGAAGAAAAGTAGAGAATTGGAGAGAAGAGTACTGGAGAAGGTGGAACACACAATTACATCTATCAATGTCTCCAAGCACGTCGACGAAGTCATCACCGCCCTCTACTCTCTCGCTGCCTGCCTCTTCCCTCTGAATCCCCACTCGTTTTCAGGTTCTGGATTAATTGTACTATCTTTTCATTTTGGGAATATTAATTTCGTTGGTTATAGTGTGAAACGCCATTTTTGCAAGAAATTTTAGAACTGGGCTACATGATTTGCATTAAGAGGTTTGGTGTGCAGTTGCGTTCTACATTGTGATATTGTGATTTTTGAGTGCTAATTAATAGATATATATTTTTTTTTCATAATGTAGGTAGCGTTAATGAGAAATACAGAGACGAGGTATGGGAACATGCATATTCTTGTTGTGTGATTCATGGGATTAGATTCTTAAATCAAAAGAAAAGAATTATTTTTTTCTTGTTTTCTGGTTTTGGGGTAGTTGCATGCTGTGGAGCTGCCCAGTGAAAATGAGAGGACTGAATGGTGGAAGGTTTTCTACAAAGGTTCCTCATTTCGTGCTTTTGCTCGAGTTTTATTATATGGTAAATTTTCTCCGCCTTTAGAGTTTTCATGCTTGCATTATATTATTGTGTCCTGGGTAGTGTTATCTCAATCTGGTCTTAAGGGTCGTCGGAGAATAGCAAATGAACTTTTGTTCTAGTTCCTGATTGAAAATGAATAATACCAAAAAAAATCTCCAGCTGTGGCAAAGGTGTAAATTTTAAAATCTATGATGCTGTTTTCGAGATTGTAGGATGTTTGCCTATCATCGTGAATGGTTGTATTTATTTCAAATTGGATTGTGGCAAAACAAATAAAATTTAATTTTGGTTTGAAATGTTAACAAAAATGTTTATGAATCAATCTGAAACGTTTGGAAAAATGAAATTTTCACAACTATGTTATATACCTTGCTACCCTGGAAGAATATTGCTAAACATCATAGTTCAGTTATTTAGAGTCACTCGTAGATCAGTAATGGGGCACATGCTCTATGTCTCTAAGTGATAGATTCATCCGCTCATAAATTGATCTTGATAATTGAAAATCTCCTTTGTCATTATTATTACATGTTCTCACTCGAAATTCCTAGCCAATCCAAATCATTATGTTGGCCACTTACTTTGAAATAACCATCTCTTTTGTTCTCTCTGTTTCTGTGATCCTTTTTCAAGTTCAATTGGTCAACTGTGCCAATTTTCTGTACAGTTTCATTCTTTTTGGTTTCTTAAAAGTCATTTGATTGTGTATAGATATTGCTTCCAGTTGGCTGGCATGCTTCCCAATTTCTGCAAGGAAACATGTGTATGATTTGTTCTTTGTGAATGGTAGCACTGCCGAGGTAGTTCAGGTGGTTGTTCCTTGTCTACAACACAGTAGAAATGACAGTCCTGAAACTGATTCTGTGTGCACAAGTGCTGAGAGGTAATGACAAAGAATTAATTTAACTCAATTATTTGTCTTGATTAGGTTGCTTTTATTTCTGCCTATCTGTAATTCATTGTTTCGCATGTCCATGCTATGCACATTTGATGTTCTATGTGCAAAGTTGTTTTCAATACAGTTTACAAAATAGATTTAATAATTTGTTAAATTGCATGATGTTGACATTTAGGATAATGGAATCTATCGTATCTTTGATCTTTTTTTGATGCTTTGTAATTCATTATTGCTATATTATGTTTTTCTTTTTTCTTTTTAACTTTGCATGTTGACCTGTGGTCCTGTGCTTGAAGGGAGGCAAAGGCACTACAATTTTTGAGATTTAGAATATTCTTGTATTCATGGCGAAATATTTTAGGTTCAGAGTTCAGACCTTGACTTTTGATTTCTGAGCTTAAAATTATTAGGCAGCTCTACATGTATTGAGTCTAAGGAAGGAACAGTGTCAGCTTTGAAACTTTACTGGAAAAAGTTACCTGATAGACTTGATTTGAAATCTCTAGGGCATGGTAAAGAGTTCATTCTTTGACTCCTTGTATGAGTGTGAAAAGGCAATCAAGCAAGGTGCAAAGCGCTAGTTGAGCTAATGGAATATGGTAGAAGGAGTACAAGAAGCAATTAAGGAATGCTGGCGTTGGTAAGCTGATGTTCTGACTATAGTTTCTAGTTTCTAAACACTGAGAATGGGAGACCAGTGACCAGTGAAGCTACTGTTGGAGAAGTGTTATGTCATCTGCAGTGTAGTTTATGATTATATCTTTCTTTTTGGGAATATTGATTTTGCTTCCCGTAATGTATTTTGCTGTTCTGTTTCTAGTAAAAGCACGATTCATAACCTTTGATTTGTGAGGCTTAGAACATAGGTTATCTTATATTAAGTTAGTGAAACAGAATGTAATAAACAAGAATGAGACTTGAAAAGAGAGGGAGAGAAAAAGAGAAGAAAGGGGAGAGAATCAAGAGAATATAGAGGGAGAAAATATGATTTTATTCCATATTCAAGTCTAAGTTTTACGCTGAATAGACCTTATTTATATAGAGTTTAAGCCAATCTAATTTAAAAGGAAAACAAAATAAAATAAAACCTAATTTAAATCAAATTAGAAAATCTATAAAATAAAACCCTAATTCCAGTCAAACTAGAAAACTATGAGTTAATCTAAATTAAATTATCTTCCTAATTGTCAATCAGGACTCAATATGGGCATAATTGTATGGCATGCTTGTATTATATACATAGACAATATAAACTTTCCATAATATCAAGCCTAGACTATAGATAATTGCTGTAATTGTAATAGGAAGGTAATTACTGGTGAATCTCTATTTAAAGAGAATAGCACTGTCAATGAAATCATTCAATCCAATTCCATCTTAATTGACAATAATCTACTATGGATATCTATTATTCTTATCTTCATTCCCCATCAGTTTGAATGCAATTTGGGCCATAGACTTGAGTTGAACTTTTTTCAATATCGTCTGGTTTGAGAAGTGTAGTTTCTAATTCCAAGCAACTGTATGTGGCTTCCTGCAATGTAGTATTGGTTAATGTAGCAATCACGCACATATTAGTGCTGTGTGCTTTCCGTGACTTTTATCACAATTGTATATGTGATTATCTGATACGAATTGACATTTCAGGATGAAAACACATTCCAACTTTTTTTTCTCTCAATCTCAGGATGTTTTAGAAAAGAAATCTAATAGAATATCTAAAATTTTCTCACATGATGTTCATAACAGGTTACTTGTACTTTGCTTGCTCGAGAATGATGGGGTACTTAAGATAGCTAAAGAATTTACTGGTTGTTGTCACTCTGAAGATCTGAGTCATGAACAGCTCAAGCAGATTATTTCTAGGGTGGCACAACTTGTCACAGCTATTCCTGACAAAGCAAGAAGAGGAGCCCCTATTTCACTTTCACCGCAGTATCCTCATCTGAACTTTAAAATGTGATTGCTTCTTAATAGTTTATACTGATCTGCATGCATAATGTGCACATGAAGCAGGATCCACCAGTTAGGTGCTTTTAGATAGTTTCTTTTTTTTTTTTTTTGGTTGAGGAGGGTGAGGGATGGGGGAGACGGAACACTTGGAAACATGTTTAAGCAACAAGACTAAAGCTAGGAGTGCACATAGTAGAAAAGAACTAACTTGAACACAGTCTCCATAACACTTGGAGTGGTGGGGAGTTATTGTGGATACAAATGCAAGTCGAGTTTTAGATTTTTACTTTAATTACCTGCTCTTTTTCTTTTCGACTTCCCTTTGTGGTTTATTTTATCCTTTACTAGTGTTCCAGTTTGTTTTTCAAAAGAATTACTACACAGCTTCTAAATGGAATAGAAGAATGTGACATGAATTTAATTGACGAAGCAGCTATTTCTAATGACATTAACATGTATGGTGCTATTCTTTTTGTTGGAGAAGTATTTGCCCGCATTTGTCGTCGAGGATCTGCAGGTACTCTAAAATATTTGAGCCTGAAGTTCTTGGAGTTATATTGATTATTTAACATAAGCTAGTTTCAAGAATAAAATGTAATACCAGATTTTACTGTTTTCAGATGTTCTATTAAGTGAGGTTATACCGCAGATTCTTGGGCATGTTCGGAGCTTGTTATCATCAACCACTAATTTGAAGCTTAATGAAACAATTCAGTCAAGACCTGGTTTTCGCTTTTGGTTGAAGATCATGGAGGCAATAAAAGATCCCTATTCTGTGGAAAGAATAGCTGAACAGGTCTTGCATCAACTAGCTGCTCAGAATGCAAGTGACGTTGAAGGTTACTGGATCTTGTGGATTCTCTTTCATCGGACCTATAAGCACCAAATTTCAATCAGGTATGTAAAATTATCGTGCCCTTTTGATAGGAAGTTTGAAGTTATTTATGCGGTCTTTCCCATCCTTCTCAGATGCATTAATATTGTGTTGTTTAGACTTCATTTAATGCAAGTTTTTACTTTAGCAGGTCAACTGTCTATCTTCATAAAGCTCAATTCTGACATGATATATAGGATCAAGAGATGATTGAATACCAAATTAATTTTCTTGTAAAAATGAGAATAGCATTTTTATCAATAAGCATACAGTTCCCTGTTCCTAATTTAATCGAAGTTTATATTTTTTTTTTTCTGCAAAGCCTGGTAGGCTGGTATTCTTTGCCAATCAGAAATAGTAAGCATATTATTTAAATTTAAGCCGTTTTTCTTTTTCATATTTTCAGGTCTACATTTGTTGAAAAATTTTTAATCTGGAAAGTATTTCCCATCTGTTGCCTGAGGTGGATTCTTCACTTTGCTGTGCTCGAATGTGTCCCTGATAACACTTCTCAAGTGAAATCTTATAATGCTAGTGGTCTCACAGACGCAGTACAGCGTCTTGTGTCAATATGGTCCAAACGAGAGTTTGTGCAATCAGCCCCAACTGAGCAGCAAACCTGTATCCTTTTCATTCATTTATCTATTCTTAACAATCATGTGATCTTTCTTGGGATATGCTATCTATGATAGTAACCAAAAAGAGTTAGATTATTTTGGAGTCTCTGGCTGCATAGTTTCCACGTTCCTTCTTCAATTTTAATTTTGGAAACTGTGGTTCTGAGAATCAATCACAACTTCTCTCATACGGAGAGCTATCATAACATCTATATTTTACAGTGCATACTGTTTTGCATCAACTTCTTCATTTTCTTGTTACAAAAGACAAAGGACTTTGGATTCATTCAGTTACATTCCTGCATTCCTTATTATATTTTTGCCCATGGATCCTTAATTTAGGGGTCAGACATAACTGCTGCTTTAGGGCTTTGCTTGGAGAAGATGGCAAAAGAAGATCTAGATGCAACAAAGGGTGCACTGCACTTGATCCTTCAAGGAGTTAGTTGTAGGATCTGACGCTTTTGCTCTTCCTAGTAATTTTATTTTCAATTTGCTGGATAGTGTTAGTGATTGTACTTCATTTCTAATTGCTGACAGGTAGGCTGGAGAGCCCTATTTATTTGGTGCGCAAAATGGCAAGCAGTATTGCTTATGTATTTTCCAAGATTATTGACCCTCAAAATCCTCTGTATCTTGATGATAGTTGCCAGGTAGAAACCATTGACTGGGAGTTTGGGACAGCAAACCCTAGCAAAGGTTCTCTTGCAACAAAGATGCATTGCACTGATGAAAAGGCTAATAAAAGTGAGAGTCCTTCTACCATGCTATGTGGAAAGGAGATTAGCGAGACAGATGTTGATGGAAATGATAATATGATGAAGTCTAGAAAGAAGAAGCCATCCATACTTAAATTAATTGATCCGGATGAAGTTATTGATCCAGCAACACTAAATAATGAATCGGTCTCCGAAGAAGATGACAGTGACCATGAAAGCGAAGATTCTGAGACTTCAAGTGGACCTTCCTTGCAGCCTTACGACTTAACGGATGATGACTCAGATTTGAAAAGAAAGTTCTCACAATTAGTTGATGTGGTTGGAGCACTAAGAAAATCAGATGATGCTGAGGGTGTAAGTTGCTTGAGATTATTTACCCTATCTATTTGTTCTTACATAAATATCTTCATAGCATTTTGTGATGATACCAATAAAATTATGCGGGAGAGCACTCATACAAAGAAATTCCCTCTGATATAATTTTTTTGTCTGCACTAGCTTCAAGAAGTATCATATATGATATACGTCATATATAACTAATACAATTTGTTTAGTAACCAAAGTTCAACCACTTATAAAGTCTGAAAGCTTATCAACTTATTGGAAAAGATGGCAGGCTATTTTAGCAAATTAACATACTGATTGTGAGGGGCTTCCATACAAAATTTGGTAAAAAATACCTTAACCGTCGAGAACAACTGACCTGTTTTGCAGGTTGAAAGGGCTCTTGATGTTGCTGAAACACTTGTTCGAGCATCACCAGATGAGCTCAAATATATAGCAGGTGATATGGTTAGAACTCTTGTACAAGTACGATGCTCTGACATTACTGTTGAAGGAGGAGAAGAATCAGCTGAAGAGAAAAGACAAAAAGCGCTAGTTGCGTTGATTGTCACAAGCCCTCTGGAATCTCTAGATAGTTTGAACAAACTGCTATATTCACCTAATGTAGATATCAGCCAGCGGATAATGATCTTGGATGTCATGACAGATGCAGCTCAGGAACTCGCAAATGCAAGAATCCAGAAGCCACGAAATCAACCAAAGGCCCTTATAACGTCCACTTCAGACCAACCCTGGTTCATGCCAAGAAGCACTGGGCCTCCAGGAGCAGGGTCCTGGAAGGAGATCTCATCGACAGGAACTCCATTAAACTGGTCGTATTCTTATGAAAGAGAACTTCCATCCAGACCAGGTCAGATCAAGAAAGGGAAGACACGTCGATGGAACCAAAAATCAACAATGCACGAAAACCAGACTGAGTGGTCCCAGAATAGGTTTCCCCAGTATGCAGCAGCATTTATGCTTCCAGCCATGCAGGGATTTGATAAGAAGAGACATGGTGTTGATTTGCTAGGGAGGGATGTTATTGTCTTGGGGAAACTTATCTATATGCTTGGCATTTGTATTAAATGCGCAGCGATGCATCCTGAAGCTTCTGTGTTGGCATCTCCTCTTTTGGATATGCTAAGATCCAGGTACTGGCATTTTTCAGATTTATTATAGAATAAGTAGGGGAGGGGCAACTCTTTATGTCTGCAGGTGGGGTGATAGATATTGAATGAATGATATTCGTGCTTATATCACATTCTTGAAGTCACCTGAACCTCCACTTTAGATGCTCATAATTGAGTTCTTTGTCTAATATTTCACAGGGAGATATCTCATCACATGGAACCATATGTTAGAAGATCTGTCCTTTTTGCAGCTTCGTGTGTATTGTTGGCCATTCATCCCTCTTATGTTGCGTCAGCCGTGGTAGAAGGAAACACTGAAATCTCAAAAGGACTTGAGTGGGTTCGGACTTGGGCCCTTCAAGTTGCTGAATCAGACACAGATAGAGAATGTTACACGGTACAAAATAATTATTTATTTACTTGGAAGATAAATTTCATGCCTTCACTTCCGTTCTAAGTTATTCCTGCTTTTACTGTATCATTCATAAAAGTTGAGTTGTGAAGTCCTTAATTAGGCCTTTTTACTAAAAACTCGCTCTCCATGAAGTTGAAGATATTTATAAAATCTTATAACTTAAGGACTACTATAAGAACATGACGCTGTATGGGTAATTTACATTTCATTTTTATGAGATTAAAGAATGGTTAGCCGGAAGAACTTGTGTACCTTATTTGACCTGCTTAATTAAAGTTAAATGTCAAAATTATCCTCTACTATATAACGTATTTTGAATGGTTGGGGCTTGGCATGCCAGGCCTCAGGTTATAATTCTGTTAAGAAAACGTGTCATCGACTTCGGAAATTTACATATTTAGCTCATGTGATCCAGTCATAATCAGACAAGTTCCAGAATTATTTCCTCATCTGCCCCTTTTTAAAGTGAAGGAAAAATGTCATTATGGAGAAAAACTATAATTTTCTAGAACAATTTGTATGTTCCAACTACTTCCAAGAGCTCCAATTTAATTTATAATTATCAAGAAAAGTCAATTTGAAATTCAATAACTGTACTAAATGACCTGATGTGAATAATCAGATTAACAGATTTTGATAGGGTTCTCTTTGTGTGTGTTTTGAGAGAGAGAGATTACAGATTTTTGCAACCTTTAACTAGATGACAATTTGCGTGAGTTATTAACTTCAATAGAAAAGATAAAAGAGTGTGAGTAAGAAAATGTGATTCTTAGATATCGACTACCTAAAATTGGATTTTAAATGGTTCCAAAGACAATTACTGACATTCTGATTCCATTTTCTAGGCGTTCAAATTTATTTGCTAACTATTTGAAATCCACGTTTTCCTGGACAACCTTTCTCTACGCAAGTGTAATGTATTCTACGGTTGTAAGTTATTGCTTGATTCATCTTTGCTACGTAATAAAGCAATATTCTATTGGTATATTTCCCTGGTAGCTGCACAGTAGGCATCTGTAACCAAGTTGTCGTCAAACAATTTTCGAATTTATCTTTATTTTCATATGCTGTGAACTCAATGGGATATCACCAATTTCATTTTCCGCGTGTTCTCTGCTGTACATGCTACTGATAATGTATATTTACTCAGTTTCTTGCTTTTTTCTTCTCTCTTTCGCCATACTGAATAGTTTCAGATTTCCCATGCCTACTTATTTCTTCATTTTCCCTTCTCGTTTTTTGTGGCCATGTAATTTGTTCTCATTCCATGTTTTCTAATGCAGCTGGCTATGGCATGTCTCCAACTCCATGCTGAGAAGGCCTTGCAAGCGTCTCGAGCACTTGAATCTGCAGAAGACACAT